TAGGAAAAGATCCCCAGGGAAGCAGTGTGCAGGGTTTGAAGGTGAAGGGCTGGGAGTAGCAGGAGTGGGTGTATCATACTCAGCAGCGGGCTGAGGCACGAGGTGCCAGAGCGCCTGTGAAATGGAGCTGCAGGGGACACAGCAGACATGCATCGTGGCTGAGCTGATGCTGTGTCATCGCCAGGCACAGAACTCAGAGGCAAACAGCATTGCAGTAATGCAGTTGCATCATTGCAATAGTGATGGGTGGAGAAGAAACACCTTGGCTCCCACATCCTGCAGTGACTGCGGAGCCTGGGTTTACAGTCTGCTTTCTGCATCTCCCTTGTCAATGAGAGCAGGCCTTTTTACCCCTTGCATCTTGGCATCCCATGAACTGTTCAATTTAATGCTCCCTCTCTGTTTTTCCATGTTCCTGCTGTCTGTCTTTGGCAGCCTGGAGGGAGGAGAGGGTCCTGACAGCTTCTTTTGGCTTCCTGTGGGAAGAGGTGGGCCGCCAGCTTCTTGTGCCAGGCAATGCACTGAAGGCTTGGTATGGAGTCCTTGGAGCGTAGCAGGCAGGGAACCAGTGCCTGAGGCACCTGCCAGCTGAATAGAAAAGAGGCAGCCACCCTAGAAAGGCTGACAGTGTTGTCACTTCCTGAGCTGAGTGATGAGCACCTGAGGGTCAGTGACTGGCTGAGGGTACCTCTGGGAGCTGGGTGTTCTTCCTCATGGAGATTACAGCTGGGAAGGAGAAATACAGGCCAGCAGTGCCAGGATTAGTTCAGGAACTTCAGGTCACTCCTCCCTTCCTTCACTGCTTTCCCCAGGGCACTGCAGAGTGTGTCTCTCTTCTGAAACAGGGAGAAAAGGACTCTGGTCCCTAGTTTACCTGAACATTTGTCACATGGTAAGAAAATTGCAGGCAGTCTGCCTGACATCATGCCCCTGCTAAATAAATGGCCCCATGTCACACACAGCCTTCTGCATGCCCAAGGAGGTTAATGCACTTCACAGAGCCTGTGTGTGCCCAGATTTCTGTTCAGAATTTCACTGCAGCAAGGACCAGTGACCTAAGCCAGTGCAGGCTCACCCAGGCTCCAGTGGCTGTCCCTGAAGCCTGTGCTTAGGCTGTAGCAGGGAATGAATACTGCACATGAACCAAACATTTGTATGAAATCTTCTTTCACAAAGAATACAACAAATTGCTTGTCAATATTAATCTGTGCCTCCTTTCTAGTAATTTATTTTTGTGTCATTTTTCCAGCCTATTCATGAAAGTGCATCTCTGTGATCTGTGCATCCAGGCATTGGGTGCTGCTGCTTTGGCTAAGGACAAGCCAGCCCTGGTCTGGGCAGGGTGTTTGAGGCACTGCTGGTTTGCTTGGGCACAGTGTGCTGCTGAGGTGGCCACAGGGCACCCAGACCTCACCTGGGCTGCTGGCCATCACCTGGTGCCCATCAACACCATCTGTCTCAAGGTGTTCTGCTTTACAGCAATCTGTAATGTGTCCTACACTTGGCAGATCAAGCTGGCTGGGAGATGTGCCAACGCAACTATTTTTCTTCTGAATTTGCTGATATGCTGGAATGGAAGCATGCTAGAGATGTTTCCACAGCTCTCAGATTCTGATGAAGGCCGAATCTGAGAGTCCACAGCACTGTCCCCAATGGCTTGTCAGTCTACCTGGGGTTGTGTGGTTTTTTGGCAGCCTAGTCTTCCATGACTTCCTGTACCCAGCTGGGGGAACCTTAGCCTCAGGTGCAGGACGGCTCTTGCAACAATTCTGAATTTTTTGTATTTTCTTCTGAGGTGTAAAGAATTAAAATTTTCAAAGTCTCCATGAAGTGCAGGTCTTTATTCTCTACCAGAATTTCTTACATCCTCCAAAATTCTGAATAAGGTGAGAATTTGTAGCTGAATGTTCAGTAATCCTTTATAGACTGAGGCCTAATTTAAAGGGCTGGCTCCATAACTGAGTTCTTTCTTAAGACTGCATTTGTATCTTTTTTAGATTAGCTTATTCTAATACCTAATTTTGTTACTTACATATTTATATGTAAAACCATTTAAAATCCTTACGTCTACAGTTATTTTTCTGGAGCTGCGCTTCAGCTTTTAGTCTGTTTTATTTTCCTTGCCTGTTACATTTGTTTCTACTTACTATGCATCTTCTCCTGTTTTAAAAGAAATGAAATATAGAACTTGATGAGGGTGCAGATTTTTTCACTCCTTAGCAGTGACAGATGCAGTGCTCTGGGAACACTGCCTGCCTCTATTAGTAAGCTTGTGCCTCTTGTAATTGGACAGTATTAATGTTTAGGAAGGCAATTGAATGAGCTTAAAAAGAGCTCACAAGATGGTGGTCCCTGCAGGTCAGCAGGCAGCGTAGTAAATCATCATAGCGAGGAGGTGCAACTGCCAGCGCGTGGCAAAGTAACTTATTACTATTCCTGCTGCTCATTCACAAGTCCTGCTGCAATTACAAGTGACAGTAGAGAGGCTGGGGAGAAAACAGGGAGCCTGCTCTGGCAAATTCCAGGTGGAGGACTTGCATTCATCTCTGTTCTCTAATGAGAGGGTGACAATGTCTGAGGCAGGTCCTGGGGACATCATAGTTCTGTGCCTTGGTTCTCCCCCCAAGGTCATGGTGCTCTGCAGCACATGGAGAAGAGCTTCAGACCTGCTGTGTGCATACTCTTTTGTTGTGCACTGTATTTAAAATGTCTTTCCCCCCCCCTTCTTCCTCCCTTAAAAGTGTATGTTTTTCCCTTTTTCCTTTTTCTAGAATCATACAGAGGGCAATAAAAGCTTTGAACATGCAAAATTGTTCAAGTACAAGCTAAAAAGTAAATGTGCATTGTATAACAGAGGTTACATTGTAACACCTCTAGCTCTGCCTTAGCGCTTTTTCATGAACAGTTGTTTTTAGAAATTTATTGGTTTTGTTGTTCTGGTTTTATAGATTAAGAATATATAAACTTGTTTGTTTTCTAAAGTGGGAGCTCAGGACATTCATCGTTTATATGTAATTTATATGTAATTACAGCAGGAATTGAATCTGGACTAAGTAGTATAAAACATGGACAAACTGGATATTCTGAGTTATTGTCTGGTGAGCCAAGGAAATAATTTATAATAAATGGCTATTTTTATGTATGAATGGGAAAAAATGGTTCTGACTGCTTTAAGAGTTTTCCAGCATTCACAGTCACTTGGCAAAATTCTTTCCAAAAGTATTATGTACTTGTCATGGTTTAACCCCAGCTGGCGATTCAGCCCCACACAACCACTTGCTCAGTTCTGCCCCACCCCACCCCACTGTGGGATGGGGGAGAGAATTGGATGGGTAAAAGTGAAAAAACTCGTGCGTTGAGATGAAAACACTTTGATAATGGAAATAGAATAATCATAATAATAGTAATGATAACAATGCAATTGATAGGAAAATTAAAAAGAGAGATTAATAAAACCAAAGAAGGACAAGTGATGCACAATACATTTGGTTACCACCCCACCCTCCTATTGATGCCCAGCCAGTCCTGAGGCAGTGCTCCTTCCAGCAACCTCCTTCTGAGTTTTTATTGCTGAGCATGATGCCATATGGTATGGAATATCCCTTGGGTCAGTTGGGGTCAGCTGTCCCAGCTATCTCCCCTCCCAATTCCTTGTGCTCACCCAGCCTCTTTCCTGGTGCTGAGCAGAGGAGACATTCACTCTCTAAGCTCTGCACAGCAACAGCTAAATCATCCTTGTGCTATCAGCACTGTTTCCAGCACAAATCCAAACCAGCCCCATAGTTGCTGTGAGGAAGATTAACTACCCCTGCTAAAGTCAGAAGAGCACTGAAGTTATGGTCTTGCCCTGTCTTTGGGTAGGTGGTAGGAGGCTGGCATTTCCAGTATGACATCTTCAGTGAGAGAATTTAAGTACTAGTTCTCTGAAATATGCTCTGGTAAAATCTGTTTCCTATAAAATGTAGTTTTTGAGAGCAGAATAGAACCATTTGAATAAAGAAGAATATAAGCAGACAATTGTTGTGAACAGTAACTCTTGCAGAGTTGATATTTTGAACAGTCCTTCTTGGGGAAAAAAAGTTTTCTTCCTGGTACTTTAGAAAATATCAGGATGTGGTGGGTCTTTGTGCTGTTTGTATGATATTTCAGGTGAACCAAACTTTGGAGGCTGCATTCTGTTCTCATGCATGGAGTGAGTGAGATAGGACATGGACAGTCTCAGCACAGAGTGTGCCCAATTCATCAACAGAATTGTGCCTGCAGAAGTCACAACTGTGCCCTGCAGAAGTCACAAGTTGATTACAATGAATTCTTCATGCTCACTAGAAACTGTGCTCAGCTGTGTGTCTGTACCACAGTACAGGAGACATGAGCTGTGGGCTGTGTCACTTGGCTGCTGCACAGGAGTTGTTCCTGCTCATGAGCTGTGGGCTGTGTCACTTGGCTGCTGCACAGTTGTTCCTGCCGAGCTGGTGTTGAAGGAGCTTCCCTGGTGAGGAATTTCTAAGTGGCAGGGCTAAGCCGCCTCTTAGGACCTTGTTGCTCGCCATTCAAAGCTTTGTTACTTTTCCAGAGGTGCCAAGGGCGCCAAGTGAGCTCAGCCTGGCCATTGCAGTGTTGGGCAGTTTCTTCTGGGGGCTTCTCTTTCCCTTTTGGCCCTTGTGCACTGAGGTGGTAAAAGGGGGATGTAGTGGCGTTTCAGGTGTTTCTATGTGCAGTGATTGCTGCTTTGAGCAAAATGAACTATAATGACGATGAGGTCTCGTGTTCCAAAAGTCAGGAATAAACTGAAACTCTCCTGAAATAGGATGAGACTATTATATCCACTGAAGTGATCAATGAAACTATCCTGTCCACTGTCTGTGTACCCACATGAACCCACCTTTATATAGAGTAGTGTTTGATATTAATGTCTTTCTTTAAATTATGAGCATATTTGTTATCATATATACATTTATTTATTTTGACAAACCCACATTTTCCCTTTTTTTTTCCTCCAGAGCGACCGACTGCTTATTAAAGGTGGAAGAATTATCAATGATGACCACTCCTTCTATGCAGACCTGTACCTTGAAGATGGACTTATAAAGTTGGTTTTTATTAAATACTGCTTTTTTTGCATGCGTGTTAGCATAGACTACTGTGATTTCTTCATAGTGCTGACTTAAAATCTTTTGCTGACTTAAAATCTTTTGTGGGCAGAATCTCAGTGACCTCTAAATGTGAGACGGTAGTTGAGGAGTGTTTAATTATTAAATTCTGCCATTTTATCTTCAATAAGATTAGATAAGTAGAAAATGTCTTTGCTGTAAATTGAAGATATTTGCTTTTTGAACAGTTCAATCACAGTTTCTTCTGAAATAGTTAAGGCAAGTAGGTACTCTCAAGAAAAAAAGTAATGGTAAGGACAATGAAAACTTTTTAAGTCCATGAATGGCAGAAAGCTCTCTACAGCTTTTCTCCCTATACTTAATCAGTGCAATTGCAGCCATGCTCTTAGGCTTGTAGGGCACAGAAGTCTGAAATATGCCCCATGTTGCATGGTGCAAATGAGGACCTTCTGTGTCTCAGTTGCCTGTTGGTTAATGCTGAACCACAGCATGTTCTGTTCCTATAATGTTGTTATGCATTGTTACACAATTAGAAAGAAAGTCCTGATTTATCAGGCTATAAAATACAGGAACTGGGAAAGTATCTGTTAGGTGAAAAACTTGAAGTATGTGTTACTGATAGCCTGGGAAACTGTAACAGAGATGTCCATATGCTCTGTTGGTCCTGCCTTGGCTTAGTGGAGATGAGGGTCTCTAAGGTTTGCAAAGTTATGTAGTGTGTGAGCACTCTGATGTACACAAGGATCAAAGCCTTTTTCATGGTTGCTAAACACTTTCACTAGTGACCTAAGAAGCTTGGTCTCCAGCGGCTACAATTTGATGCGCAGAAATATAATTATGGTTATCTGGTAAATAATTAATTGCCTACTTGTTTTCAGAGCTCCTTAAGCTCCTTTCAGAGCTCTTTAACATCAGATTAAAAGTCCAATTCTTTATATATCAGTGACTGCATATGTTATTATGATTCAGGTTATTATAACAGAAAAAAATTTGAATACTTTCATCCATGGACTGTGCAGTTTTCTTTTTAATACTTTGCTCTGACTTTCCATTGGTAGTGTTAATTGAAGTGGCAAAAGTGGAGAGAACACACAATTTTGAACATGTATCTATTCTTAAAGCAATAGTTAGCCAAGTTGTACTCTCTTTGATGGGTGTTTTTGTTGAGTTTTTCTGTGGTTTTGTTAGTTCATGTGTAATTCTTCTATTAACACTTGTAAGCATCAGAACTATTTAAATAACTAAATGCATGAGATGCTGAGAGCCTGAAACTGCTGTGACATTTTGGCTTTGATTCCAGAAATGCAGTGGTAGTTAGTAGGCAGGTCAGCAATGCCAGTCTTTCACCTGCCCTTATTAAGTACATAGACTCCCTCTGAAATCCATGTGTGGATCCGTACCTCCAGGAAGTATCTCAGCTGCCCAAGCTAATTAGGGTTAATAATGAAGAGACAGGCAAGATCTTAATTTTTAAGAAGTATTTATCTTCGCGCAAGGAGGCAAGTTCTCTGTTTAGCACCCTGAGTTATGCCTGATGCCCTAGATTTAGATGACCCAAGATTTTTCTTTGAAAAGTGCAAGAAGTCCTGCTCTGAAATAATTTGTGAGGGCAACCTGCTGTGAGATGGGGTTGGGTTCTTACTGTGTTCAGATGATAAATTTTGCAACCTAAGAAAGCTCCGGGTTTGTTTGATCTCTCAGTTTCTTCAGGTGGAACTGCCCATTGTGTCTGAATATTTAACATCATTGTTAAATGTGGCTCAAGCTTGTTCGGAGCTGGACCTTGAAACTCAGTCATCCTCATTTCAGTTGATGCTACAACTTTCCAGCTGCAGATCCTGCTGATAATACAGAATTCTAACACAGAATGGAGCAGACACCAAACCACTCAGCCCAGAATAGGCAGTAGTGTCCTGGTTTTACCGGGCTATAAAAGATCTGGGTTATTTTTCTCACTCTGAAATGAAAACTGATTGGAGAAGAGAGGGTTGGGTTTCTCTTGCAGCCTAATGAAAAGATTTGGGTCTTTTAATGCTTTTAATGCAGATCATTCTGCAGAGAGGAAAGCAGATGTAACCTTGAGTATGTTTGAAGATCAGCTATGGTCTGGAGGATGTTCGATGTTTCTTCCTGCCAATGAATGCTCAAACTGGCTCCCTAGGTACAAGGAACAGCAGTGCATATGGATTTTTCCTACCTGAAACTTAAGCCCTGCACACTCAGATGGCAGCTGAGAGGCAGTTCTCCATTATCTAAATAGTATTTAAAATATTTGGTAGTTTAAATTGGCGTATAAATAATGTATTTTGCCTTCATCTCTCCTGCCTCTGTTATCACATGAGGAAGTGAGCCCTGTGCCAAGTGACAGGTCATGGTCTGGTGCTTGCTGTACTCTGCTCCATCCCTGCCAAGAGAAAGGGTTGGGTCCCTCTGGGCTGGAGGGACAAACATGTGGCAGGGTGGAGGACTGGGGGCATTGTCTCCAGAGCTGGGCAAGTGATGAGTCAAGTTATGGGGAACCTCAGATGCCGAAAAAACGTCTGGGCTTGATAGCTGCAGAAGCACCACCACAGAGTTCTGGGGGAAGTTTTCAGCTTCCTTGGATGAAGCTTAGGAAGAGCTGAAGCCTGCTGTTTCTGTTGTGCTTTAATCAGCCCATGTACAGCAGAATCACTGAAAATGGCAGACAGCATCAGCTTTCTGAGTTTTCTGGTTGCTGACATATGAGGAAACCAGCTCAGTCATTTGTACAGTGTCTAGAATGCAGTTATCTGCACTGTTGTATTTTTTCACCTACAAGTAATAGAACTCTATTCTTGCTCACATACACTCTGCATTAATGAGTGAGCAATTCAGGAATCCTGTCACATTATCTCCTACTCTCTGTTCTACTTGGACAGAATAAAAATAACCTTGAGCAGCAGCAAAGATCAGACTTCTCCCAGCCTTAATCTTGATGCCAGGGCAAGAGATGAGACAGGTTTCTGACAGATAGTAGTGCAGCATCATCCACAAAGGCCTTTGGTCCTGTGTCACTTCAACATGGATGATTTCAGCTGAGTAAGTTGTTACTCAACCATACACTGAAAATAATGAGCATTGAGTCATCAAAAAAATTCAATATATGGTTAGCACACTTTCACATTGTTAGGACGTGTCTTCTTGAAGAGGAAATTGGCAGATACTGATTGTGGAAGAAAATAAAAATTAATTGCTTTTTTTGTGAAGGTTTTCATTAATATTATTCTCAGAAGGTGTGTTAGTACTTGAAGTTAAGTTACTTCTTGGGCATACTCAAAGGAGGTGGGTCATAGTTAATTTTTTTTCCGAGCTCCATTTCTTAGCCACATAAATGCTCTACAAAGGTAAAGGGTTGTTCTGATTAAAATCTTGGGGATAGATTTGACTAACAAAAATTAGTGCAACACCATTACTACACATGGGGATACCTAATTTTGTGCAGGCATTCAATCTGTTCATGGGTGCAGTGCCTTATGATATGCCTTTGTGAGGTATATTTTAAAACAAAGGAGCTGCTTGCAGCTTTTTTTGTGCAATTGGATGTGCTGGGCAGCTGCTGGTTTTTGCATCCAGGCTGGTTTCCTGTTTGTCAGGGTGTTGTTCACACTGTGCAGCTGCACACAGGTTATGACAGTGCTGCACATGTTGATGCCTATTAGGTGCCAGACATGCAGGTGCCAGCTCTCTCGAGTAAGCCCTCCTGGATTTGTTCCGTGCTTGTGACCCCATCCTGGGATGCCCATGAGGAGTTTGCCGGTGGAATGGCTGTGCTTCCCTCCAGCCAGAGCCCAGGGCACCAGGGGAGACAAGTTGCTGGAGGTGACATTTTTGCTTAGCATATGAAACAAATTCTTGACCTCTTGGGGCTATTTATTAACTCTGCCAGTTTGGCCAGATTCCAATGTGAATAATTATCCCCTTTTTAAAAATTTTTCCCACTGGTTTTAATCAACAGTTATATTCACTTCTGGTTCTACCTTATCACAGTTGGCTGTTAATCAGTTGCTGTGTTTTGAACTGTAGGTGGGAGTTGCCTTTTAATATGGGGAAACAAATTTAGCAGCTCAGATGTCTGAGGTATTTATTTAGCTGTGGATAAAAGTTATTTTATCCAGACAAAAGAAAATTAGGACCAGGGACTCTGTGTCTGTAATATGAGATAAACTGTGTGAACTTTAACTACCTTACAGTTGCCTCTAAGCCCAGATATATTGTGGTATAACAGTGCAGAGACATGGCTTCCACACAGACCCTTCTCCCTGTCTGGCACCATGCAAAGTAGACAATAAATTCTAGTGTGGCTTTAAAAGTTAAAGTTTAATTTATTTGTAATTGAGTCCATGAATAATACAAGTATTTTGATCATAAGTATCTGGAGTTTGATGTTGGTATGGGGGACAGATTAATATTTTTAATAGCAACAAAAAAAATCCTGCTTTGAAGACCTGAAGGGAAAAAGATGGCAACAGCTAATTATAATTTTTCCACACAGTTGTGCAGAATGTTTCACTGACTTTTAACTTCAAGAGGAGGATGAAGAATATGGGACATGGTAGATTAAACATGTTTAGGTCTCTTAGATATGTATTTCTGTATCTTAGATTATTTAGATTTCTTTTTAAGGATAAATTTGCATTGCATGATGACAAAGTAATTATAAAATTTTCTGATATGCCTTTTGCTTCTACCATATATTTTTACAATTCCAGCTTGCTCCCATATTTGATCTATGTTTTCCTATTTTCATTTAAGAACTTAATATACAAAACTGGAGCCCCCAAGAGAGCATTAAGTGTACATAATTTGAATTGTTTAAAGATAGAAATCATATAAAAATAATCAATTTTTAATGCTGGTGCATTACAGCTCCTTTATTGGCCACTGGAGCCATGCAAAGCAAACAGAGCTCACGGCTCAGCGAGTCAGCTCTCCTCTGCTTTGTTCTGCTGTGCTGGGCAGGACAGAGGGAGCGTGTGCTTGAGCTTCACCTTGCCTTTGGGACCCACCTCCTGCTGTATGGGCCCAGGCTCTCTTTCCCCTGCATGCCTCAAATAGCTTTGTCCTCTGTGCTTGTTCCAATAAAGTAATACTGCCTTTCCTTGCTGTGCAGGCAAATAGGAGAGAATCTGATTGTTCCTGGAGGAGTCAAGACCATAGAGGCTAATGGGCGCATGGTTATTCCTGGGGGAATAGATGTCAACACTTATCTACAAAAGCCCTACCAAGGGATGACTGCTGTTGATGACTTCTATCAAGGCACAAAAGCAGCACTAGCAGGGGGCACCACCATGATCAGTGAGTACCAGCAGAGCTATGTGGGGATAGGTACCAGAGGCTTCATTCTGATTTCCTGAGTTCTTCTGCAATGAATCTTCACATTTTCTGGGCACTGTGTTTGAGATCCATTCATCATTGTTAACCAGGGGTGGCCTGAAAATGAACCTATCCTCAGAAAGAAATACCAATGTGTGGAATTGTCTCCTGGATTTTCCTCTGAAATATAGAACAAGAACTGAGGAATAATGTATGTAATCTTGGGATTTTTGGAAAGCAGTGTAGGTAGTGCTGTAAGTATATGCACAGAAAATCTGACAAAGATCTGCTGTTCCCACCTACTGCCATTTCAAGAGGTTTGGAAATAAGAAGATATGCTTATTTATGAACTTGGATTTGGCAGCAGGAATTGAGGAAGACCTTAACAGAGATGTCCCAGAGGAACATCTTTGTTGGTGAAAAGAAGAAGTGTTTTTAGTTGTTAAAGACTCTTTTTCTGTCTACAGATGGTGGGACAAGATTTATCTCTTTCCTTCTGGCTGTGACTTTACTTTGGTTAGATGTTGTGAGGCAATTGTTCAGGTGCCATAAATTGTCTTAGCTTCCTTGTGGAGAGGAGCTTCCCAGTGGAGTTTTACTCCCACTGAATTGGGATGTGGATTTTTTTTTTTTTTTTTTTTTTTTTTTTTTTTTTTTTTTTTTTTTTTTTCCCTTTTT